TTCCAAACCTCTGATCATTGTAGTTGCCCTCCCCTCTCCCACCCTCTCTTCCCCTCTCCCACCTCCTTTTTCCAGTCTCCCCGAGTTTTGTTCAATAAAGAGAGATTCTATTTTTGACCACACGTTTTCTTTATTTTGTACATCAGGAAGGGGGGCTAGGGAAGGGTAAGTGGAAGGAGGTGAGGGAGGAATGGGGTATGAGCCCCCGTTGGGGAGGACTGGGCTGGCTCTGCGGGCTTCTGGGGGTGGAAGCTCTCCTGCAGCCCCCCAATTGCCCCCTCTCCTCAGATGGCAGCCTGCGGCAAGTGCAGCCGGTCTGATGGCCAAGTGCTGTGATGTGCCCAGTGTGGGCACTCAGGGCACTCCAAGCCAGGACTGCTTTGCAAGCGGGAAACCCCTGAGAACTATCTGTCCGGGGTGGGGGTCGGGTCCCTTTAAGCATAGCCCTCGGCTAGCCTGAGCCAGCAGCTCCACGCTCTAAGTCCTCATCTGATGCCCTTCCGGCACTGCTTCCGGCCATCCTTAACCCCGGTTCAGGGTCCACTTAATGTGGACATGCTAGTTCGAATTAGCAAAATGCTAATTCAAACTAGTTTTTTAGTCTGGATCCGTTAGTTCGAATCCGTCTAGGTTAGTTCGAATTAGTGCTGTAGTGTAGACATACCCCCACTGATTTGTGGACATTTGCTCTAAGGTAGGAAAAACTTTAGATATTTATGGTTGCTTATGGTTACATTGGAAAAACATAAGTGAATAGCTGAGAGTTACTGTGTCTTTGTGAAAGGTAAAACTGAAATCTGCCTGGTATAACTGAGAGGCGAATTTGACTATTATATCTGTTAGTTACCTTCTATCTAGATCAATGGAAAATGAAATGTTTGGCTGAGGACAAATATAGCCCACTGTATTAAAAACAAATACTTGGATGTCTGTATGAAATGTAGTAGGTTATTATTACCAAGTCTATTTCAGACATTTGGGCCTTCTCTTTCTATGTCTACATTTTTGTGTATTTTTTTATAATTATCTGTTTTTATTATTGTTTGGTTATATTTATAATATCTGTGCAGATACTCACTACTGAAGAAGGCATTGTGATGGAAAAAAGAAGTTATTGACTTCCTGCAGTAATGATGGTTCTTCATGTATACCTGTGGGTGTTCCACTGTAGATGTGCAAAATATCCACTAACATGTGGTGTGACTTGATCACCTCTTGTAGTGGTATCTGCAAGTGTCGGTCACTGTTTCTGTGTCAAGTCCTGGTACAGTTGGAAGTCATCTGCCATAGATGATGGAGGGGGGATATCACTGTCTCATCTGGCAATGTTGATGAGAAAATGGACTTGAGGAGTAACTTCCTCCATAATTCCTCCTGTCCTTCCCTTGCCTTTTTAGGGGGTTCAGATGCGCTCAGGTTTCTGTTAGGCAACACTAGTACTACAAGAGGCCTGTTACCTTGGAGACTGCCAAGGATCTCAGTGTGGCCATTGCAAGGGTGGAGAGGAACCTGGTGGTTAGTACCATGGATGTCCAAACCCAGGAGGATGTGGATCAGAAGGATGATGTGACTGAAGTCCATAGTGAAATTGGGCACTGTTCAACAGATGAGAAGAGCAGTGAGAGACCATGTCCTTTTTCTCCCTTTCTGACTTGGAATACAAAAAGGGCACTGCGTGGTAAAATGTTATTGGCAAGTCAAAGGCTCTGAGTGAACTCAGTACTAGGGCTCTCATAGACTCATAGACTTTAAGGTCAGAAGGGACCATTATGATCATCTAGTCTGACCCCCTGCACAGTGCAGGCCACAAAATCTCACCCACCCCTCCTAGAATAATCCTCTCACCTAGATCTCAGATATTGAAGCCTGAAGACCCCAAGATGCAGAGAATCCTCCAGCTGTGATCTGTACCCCATGAAGGTTTTTCGCCTTCCTCTGTAGCATGGGGTACAGATCACAGCTGGAGGATTCTCTGCATCTTGGGGCCTTCAAAGTATTTGAAGGCTTCAATATCTGAGATATAAGTGAGAGGATTATTCTGGGAGGGGTGG